CTTTTTCAATCTCAACAGTAAATTTTCCTCCTTCTACATTTTCTTCATTAAATTCATGAATTACACCATTAACAAATATTTGAATTTGATGGTTGACATAACAATGTTTAGTATTTGAAATTATATTCCATAATTGGCAAAATTGTCTTAATGTTTTAAACTTACCAATTAACTTACCAAATGGACAATATTCAGAAGTATTAGATTTAATGTTTGTATTATGATAAAAACACCATTTCTTTTGAAAAGTATTTCCATATTGTTTTTTGATTAGATAAACTTACTACAGTATCACGAATATTTCCTTTAATATAAACAATATGTTCTTTCAACTTTTTATTAATTTCCATGTATGAGTAGATATTTAATTTTGAGTTCAGATCAATAAACAAAAATAGTTCATGTTATTTTACCCATTAACTATTCCATATACATACTATTGATTTCTGTATTTTACACTTTTTATTCTTTATTTTTAATAAAAAAAAAGATTGACGTAAGTTCGCATAATTCTTTTGACTTGAAATAAACAATAAAAATCAAACAACATAACATTTTAAATTAATAATTTTATTTTTTATTTCCTGTTTAAAAAAATATAACTCTGAATTCATTCAACTCCTAGTGATATGGCATCACAAATTCTACCTCCACTCATCTCTGCTAGTGGAAAAATTATTGTAACATTAATTGCTGGTGGTTTTGGAACAAAAGCAGTTGAATTATTTACCAGTTACAAGAAAGCAGACTCATCAAAATCAGTAGAGGAGTTGAAACAGGAGTACGAAGAATTAAAAAATAAAAACAAAGAATTAGAAAATAAACTAAAAACAAAAGAATGGGAACATTTCCTTTCTTTATTAAAAGGAAAAGATGATATAATTAAACTCGCTGAATTTTATAAAAAACAACATCAAGAATTTGAAGAACAAATGAACACCCGTTTACTAGAAAAAGATAATCAAATTATTTCATTACAAAATCAAATTAATCAACTTAAAGATAAATCAGCAACAAAACCATCAAATTGGGAAGTTTATTTTAAATGGGGACTAATTATTGTCAATGTAATAATATTAGTTGTTGGTGTATTATTACATTTAACTAAATAAAAAAATAATAAAATAACATTAAATTTATTCCACTTTTATGGCATTAAATTCTTTTAATTCTTTTTGTACTTTCTTTAATTCATCTAAAAAGTAATATATCTCAGTCATCTTTGACTGGAGTTGTTGTTGAGTTATTGGTAATTGATTTTCATCATCATCAATATCTTCATATATTACTTTTTGTAATTCAACAAATTTCTTTTCTGCAGCTTCTAATTTTGAGAGAAATTCATTTGATTTTGTTAAAATTTCTTCTTTATTTCCAAATGGATGAACTGATAATAATCGAAGCATTTCTTGAAATGCAGTCATTGATTTACTTAATTCCTGATCTTATGAGACTTCTTTTAGTTATATTGAAATTTGATTAAAATAATTTCAAACTTCTTCTGTTTCACTTTTGAGTTGTTCTTCTCGTGATACTTCCATGAAATGAATTAAAAGTATTAAGTGTTTAATGAACTATAACAAATAGTAAATTATAGTATTATTATTGAAATTGAATATATTTTGGTCTATCTTTTTTCACCAATGAATAGATACTTGAAATTAATGTTGCTGTTACAACTATCCCACAAATGACATGTGTGATAAAAATTGTCATATTACATGTTTGTACTAATTCTTCAAATTTTGTTTTGCATAATACATCAAAACACATTGGATTTTTACATGCACAATTAGATGGTGAAATAGAATCATAACCACAACACCTAAACTACATAACATTAATCATTTTATTAAATCATGTAATTGTATTAAACAAACTGAAGCTTCTATTAACTGACTAATTGGTATATCTTCTGTATCTGTTAATGTTGTTATATTCCAATAATTTAATATTGTTTGTTGTGTTTTAATAAGAGTATATGAC